GAATGTTTTCTGCCTTCAGTCTGCTGTATGCGATGAAGGACTGATACGTTCTCACGTAATTGACCAGAAAAAGGGTTTGAAGTGGAAAATTTTATCAGAAATACAGTAGGAACAGAGAGGTGATCGTCCCTGTGTACTGAGCACTGGTGAGGCTGCACCTCAGTAACGTGTGTGTTCAGTTTTGGGTCCCTCACTGCAAGAAAGACATTGAGGAACTGGAGTGTGTCCAGAGAAGGGCAACGAAGGGTCTGGAGCACAGGGCTTAAGGGGAGCAGCTGTGGGAACTGGGATTGTTCATCTGGAGAAAAGGAGCCCTTAGCGCTCTCTACAAGTGCCTGAAAGGAGGTTGTAGTGAGGCGGGGGTTGGCCTCTTCTACCAGGTAACAGCGATTGGATGAGAGGTAATGGCCACAAGTTGCATCAGGGGAGGTTCGGGTTGGATATGAGGAACAATTTCTTCTCAGAAAGAGCAGTGAGGCATTGGCACAGGCTGCCCAGGGGTGTGAAGGAGTCACCATCCCTGGAGGTGTTCAGAAACAGGATAGATGTGGCACTAAGGGCCATAGTTAGTGAGATGGTGGGGGTCGGTTGATGGTTGGACTGGATGATCTTAGTGGTCTCTTCCAACCTTAATGACTCCATAATTCTATGATTCTTCAGGTGATTTCAGAAGTATATCCCAGCATCTTGGAATTTCTTATTAAAGTGCTGTGAGAAGTTCAGTATCAAAGTTTAACCCTGTGTATTTGTTGCACTGGATTGTGGTTGGACACAACCCCATCCTGGAAAACCTACCAAAAATGCATGAGTTAGAATTGAGGATTTAACAAAACATAACATCTTTGCGTAACCTTTGTGTGAATGCAGTAGCACTGGCTTGGTTGTGCCTATTAAAAGTAAATCATAGAATCATTAAGGTTGGAAGAGGCCTCTGAGAGCATCCAGTCCAACCATCCAACCGCCACCAATACTATGTACTAAACTATGTTCCTCAGAGCCACATCTACACATTTCTTGAATCTGTTGATTGCGTTTGCAACAGGTAAATAAAAGAGCATTTATTTCTTCAAATCAAACAGTGGCTACGTGCTGTTGGAACAGGAGGAACTGGATTTTGCAACTAAATCAGTTGTGACACTGTTGTTGGCTGAGGATTTGAGGATGTTAGGTACTAATATTTCCTGAAGAGGAGCTGCTGGTGTTCCCTGAGGTTGGGCTTACGCAGACCTATAAAAGCCCATCTCGAAGGGCAAAATGGGGAGTGAGTTTTAAAGCAAAGAAAGCAAAAAAAAAAAAAAAAAAGCTGCAATAAAAGGACAGTTGACACGTGGCCAACAGAGTAAGGCGTAGTAGGAATTTGGCTTTGAGTATTGATTTTTAATGTATGCTAAAGGAAATTTCAAAATAATGTTGTTACATTGCATGATTCTGTAGAGGCAGAAAAGGTCGGCATAGTTAAATATTTCTATTCCGTGCAGAGGAAAAAGCACAGATGTTGCAGAAAGATTATGAAATACTTTTCCACAGTTGGTAGGTAATTATCAGCCAAATAGCAGGTATCAATATGGTTTTGTTTAAAGCTGATAGAGAGCTAGTTGAGTATTTCTCAGTTATTCATATGAATAGGTCTTAACATTAAAATTTTCGAATTATAAAGGACTACAATGAGGTGGTTCAGCCACACAATGTGGGTCCCAGAAGAGTAAGAAAATATTTCTATATAAGAATTCCCTTCCTACTTTAATGAAGTCTAAGTGTGGGTTTATGGAATACATGTCAAGTGAAGATGTTGAATTTTGTGATGTTCTCAGAATCACAGACTTGTACAATGGCTTACATTGGAAAGGACCTCAAAGCCCTGGACTGACTGCCCCTCACAAGCTCAGGTTGCCTAGGGCCTCATCCCACCTGGCCTGCAGCACCTCCAGGGATGGGGCACCCACAGCTTCTCTGGGCAGCTGTGCCAGTGCCTCACCAGCCTCTGAATAAAGAAGTTCTTCCTAACACTGAACCTAAATCTCCCCTCTTTTAGTTTAAAGCCATTCCCTTTTGTCCTATCACTATCTGCCCATGTAAAAATTTGCTCTTCCTCCTGCTTATAAGCTCCCTTCAATTACTTTTTTTTTTTTTTTTTGTGATTGAAAATTCAGTTCCTAAAGATGTAAAGTGTTTTGCAGAATTTGCCAGCATAACCATCTTGTCTAGAATGCAATTACATGTGGCAAAACTCTTGCTGTAGCTGTATCTATGTCAATTAAAGAAAGGTTTATTGACCTTGGATCATGTCTTGAGCGTGAGAAAGCGTTACCCTTACCAGCAGAAACACCACTGCTAAGTTCACATGCTCTGGCTCCCCAAGGGAAATCTCCTGGCCTGACTCTTCCAGCAGAGGCTGAGTGGCTGTTGTAGAAGATACTGCTGTATCAATTCTGCTCTACTTGATATCATAGCTAAATAATAAAGTTCAAAAATGGAGGTGTATATGCTAATTAATATAGAACTAAATACCTAGTGGTTCTAAACTTGCCATATTTTAAATTGAAAATCAGCAGTGGCTGGGTGTAATTCTAAAGGGATTGTAATCCATGCCACTTCAGCAGTCCTACCAAACCCCAAAATCTTCCCAGAGTGTCCTGACAAGATTTGTCAGCTAGAGATAAGTGGTGAAGAAAGGCTGTTTGGCTACAAATGTGACACTGGATTGGATGCAAGTAAATGTCATTTATTTGAACAGGATCAGACCTAAATTTGTACAACTTGAAAAAATACGTGCACTAGAATGTAGCCCCTCTCCAGGAAACAGCGATTATAAATATTTTCTGAAAATCATAGGAATAAAACAGATGGGTCTAAAAAAGTTAGATGACTATCAGCTCGCTTGGCAAAAAAGATTATTTTCCCAATTTGGCTACAAGACAAATTTTGTATACACCTACAGATTGTACATTAGGCCAGTATTTGGCATGCTATGGCTGTCTGAATAGTGTGTGTGTTTGGTGCCAGTAATTGAGGAAACATATTGAAAAAATTGGGAAGAATTTCAGAGCATTTTATTCATGCTAGAAAAGGTAGCAACGGCATTTTACAAAAGAAAATAGACCAACATTTATTGATGTAATACTGCTGAAAGTGAGATGTAAAGCTCATATAAAGCAAAGATTGCCTTATTAAACCACAAGAAAAAGGAATAATTGCAAGGCATCCACTGACAGGTTACATGACTGGTGTCTTTGGAGAATAAAGCACTAATATGTACATGTCCTCCCCACTTAGCCCCTCTTTTTCTTACATGGATCTTCTCCGTTCTGACAAAACAGTTTAAGCAACCTGGTAACTTGACGCATTTTGGGAAGTGACACCTTTGTGTAGCGAGCACACTCGAATGATCAATGTACATAAGAAGCATGACTTCATCCTTTCAAACATTAATAAACTTTTCCAGAAAGAGATTTTCAGACGTGTCTGCAAAATGAGCCATGAAAATTAAACAATGTGGGGAGAGCTTTTTTCCTGGAACAAAACGTGCCCATTCCTGCACAGCTGGCAGCGCACGCCCAATGCTCTGCCTCTGTGCGCGGTCCCATCCTCGGGCTGCCTGTGAATAAAAGCTGTGACAGCTCAATGGCCTCACTGTGCCCATCCTCATCATGCCATCATCAGGGCCACAAAGATGGTGAAGGGCCTGGAGCATCTCCCCTGTGAAGAAAGGCTGAGTGAACTGGGTCTGTTCAGCCTTGAGAAAAGAAGACTGAGAGGGGACCTGATCCAGGTCTATAAATATCTAAGGTGTGAGGGGCAGAGTGGCGAGGCCAGACTCTTTCCAGCAGTGTGTGGAGACAGGACAAGGGGAAACGGCCGGAAACTGCAGCATAGGAAGTTCTGCACAAATGTGCGCAAGAACTTCTTTACGGTGAGGTGACGGAGCACTGGAACAGGCTGCCCAGGGAGGTTGTGGAGTCTCCTTTTGTGGAGATGTTCAAGGCCCGCCTGGACACCTACTTGTGCGACCTGCTGTAGGGAACCTGCTTTGGCAGGGGGGTTGGACTTGATCTCTGGAGGTCCCTTCCAACCTCTACATTTCTGTGATTCTGTGATCCCGGCCCCAGTGCCATGCGCTGTGCACATCTGAAGTAAGCACTTTGCCATAGCCAAGCAAAGGCTCAACTCGCAGAAGTTGAATGCTTAAGAATCTGAATTCCAAACTTAAAATAAAAACCAGACGCACACTTGTACATTCTGGATGGTGCCAGACTGTTTTCGACTTGGGCTCCTTCAGGGTTGTCTTATGGCCAACACCAGGCCAGACCACAGATCTGAGGTACGCAGGGACGGTGTGATGCAGATAAATTTTGCTAAGCGTTCACGCTCGCATCAGGAAGACGAAGCGGATGTTGAAGCAGCGCCGCCTCCGCGGCCACCCGCGAACTGAAGGACTCCACCACACGACTCCTCGTCGTGACGCAACGCGGCGCTCACACACACAGCAGCGCCCCGCCGTGACGTCACGCGGTACCGCAAAGCATCGCCGCGCCGCTCCCCTCCGCCCGCAGCCACTTCCGCCTCCGCACCGCCCGGTAACCCGAGCGGGGCCGCCCGCCCGCAGGACCCCGCCCGGGGCTGCCCGCCGCGCCGCCTGACGCCCGCCTCTCGGGATGCGCGGTTCTCCGAACCATCCGAGATCTCCGCAGCGGCGCGGCTCGGCCTCGCCGCCCGTTCTTTCTCGTCTGGGTGTCGGGAGGAGCGCGGAGCGAGCTCGCTTCGAGCGGCGCTTTCGGTCAGGCGGCGTGACGGTCTGCCCGGCAGGGAGCGCGGCGGGGCGGCGTGAGGGGAGCGGAGCGAGGGGACCTCGAGCGGCGGGAGGGGGCGGCGGGAGGGGGCGGCGGCGGGCGGAGGAGGCGGCGCTCCCCGGGCGGCCGGGCCGATGCCTGCACCGGGCGCAGGTAGCGGGCCTCAGGCGGGGCGGCGCGGGGCGGCGGAAGGCCCGGAGGGTGGAGCGGTGCCGCTTTACGTGAAGAGGGAGGAACGGGGCCGGAGGGCGCGGGAGCCGCAAGGAGGCTGAGGGAGAGGCCTGCGGAGGCCCGGGGTTGGGGTGAGGAGGAAGGGCTGGGTGCGGGAGCTGTGCGCGGGAGCTGTGCAGTGCGGCGGCGGTTCCTTCGGGCTTGTGGGAAGGCGGGTGGAGGGCCCGTGTGCGCGGCTAGGAGCGGCCCGGAGGGAGGGGAGGGCTGAGAAGTGCTTGGCGCCTTATCTCTGCCTTCGGGCCTTGGAGGAAGGGGTGTTCCTGCAGCTCTGACAGCTCTGAGGCGTGGAATCGAAAGTAAAACTGCCCGCCTGGCTCAGCAGTCCTGTCGAATCGCTCCCCTTTCCCCCCTTCCCCCGCCGTTCCGTGGCTCTGATTTCCTGTAGAGCTCCGCATCTCGTTTGTCAGAAACTTGTGGTGCCTAGGCTGATTTTTCTCTGACCAGCCATTATGTTTTCATATGTCCCTAACTTAAAGTTAAGAGAAACTTTAATTGCAATTCACGTTCCCCGAGACTCTTGATTTCTTTTTTTTTGGTGATGTGCTTTCTGATGAAGTTTGTCATTTGCTCTTTGAGGTTTTTCAAAGTGTCAGAAGTGGGACTTCCTGTCTTTGTTCTTTATTTCCCTTACCTAACAAAGCACCTGCATAAAGGAATGCTGATGTGATCAATTGAAATTGTAGTGCCAATACAAAAAATATGTGAAGTAAATCACTGTTCTTAATTAGTAAAGTTGTATGTCTGTTCTCCCCACCTCCCCTCAGCCAAAGCTGTGTTTGTAAGGATTGAGATTCTGGTACTGCAGTCTGTAACAACAGATTTTTATTGGTTTGTGAGTATTTAGCATATCAGGCCAAGGTGGTGATGTTTATCCTTCTATTCTGATTGGTGGCTAGATTAATGATGCTGAGTAACTTCTATGAATCTTTTATTTCCTTCAGATTAAGTATTCACATAGATACTTCATCATAAGTGTTACCTTTGTATTTCAAGGACCTTTTTTTTAAAGTAAAGTTTCTGAGCCTGGAGTATTGTGAACCCCATTTCATAAATGTCTCAAATACTAAAGTTAGTATTAAAAAAAAAAAAAAACTAAGTAAAAATTCAGCTACAATTTTAAAAGAGAAAATTAAGATGAGTAAAGGTGGTTCAAGTAGTGAGAGAGTTCAGTGGTTTTCTCTGGGGAAAGCAGCACCTTTAACTGTTGGAACTAAGAAGAGTTTCAGAAAACTCAAATATCATTCTGGAAATGTATTGCTGAAAGACCAAGAGCTTATGGGCCCGTTGTCTCGTGTGTGTCTTGTCCTTTCTAATTGCCAGCAATGAGCACTAATTCCTTCTGTCAGTTTATGAAGCTCTTGTCATTATCCTGCCTTTCCAGTAGTGCATTCACATAAGCATTAGATACAAAATAGAAGTTCTGTTGATGCGCATCTTAATGTTTCCTTACCATTCTGTGTACCTGGACCCTACCTTGCAGCCTAACTTCATGTGGGAATGAGACCAAGGCAAGTCCTCTGCCTGTTACCATTTTTCTCCATTTCCCATTATTAGTGAACCAGTTTCATCCAATTTAGATCTTTTGAAGGTATGAATTGTCTACAGGTCTTTATAATAACCAGTAGCTGAAGGGAAAAAAGACTGAAACTAACTTTCTCAGGAGAGAATGGCTATACAGCATGTGCTCTGTGGGCACTTCTGTTCTGCTCATGTTGTTGGCTGACCCGTACAAGCTGACCAGTGAATCAGTCTGCGTAGAGCTGGAAGCCACCATGCTAAGCTGCCTCCTTTAATAAATTGGTGGTAGGCATAAATGAGCTGCCAGTACAACTGGGAGGGCTTAATATGGTAGACAGTGAGCAGTGTTGTATCTCCTGTGGGATAGGTCAGAAATCCGTTGTAAGCTAATGGCTCGTCACTGGTTTTACAGGGGTGTGGGAAGTAGATAATGTTCCCTTGTGAAATCATAGTGCTCCATCCCTTTTATCACATCTTTTTGTCTTGCTTTTATACAAGCAAACTGGATACATCTTTCTTTGTTTTGAGTGACTTTCCTGGTGGGAAAACATTTTAATATAATTAATGGAAAGTCTTCATGCGGCGTGACACCAGATGTAATCTTGCTTGTATGTTACAGCAGTGTTTAAGTTCTGAAAACCTCCCTCCTCCCACTTTTTTTTCAGTGGTGACAATGGCAGCTAAACTGCTGTCTGGAACTATTGGAACTAACAGTATGGATTCACAGTGCAGAAAGATTAATGGACTTAACATTGCTGAACGTGAAATGAGTGCAGGACTCCCGTCTCCCAGATGAGTGTGTAAGGAACAGGGCCCATTTACGTGGCGTAAAGAGATGGGAAATTAGTTCTGACCCATAACTTGAAGGAGTTCTGAGTGCTGCTTAGTTGTTTGGGTTTTTGTTTTGTTTTGGCATTAAGTATTGATTTCATAATAATGCTGTTTTAAGTTGGTGTCTGTCAGCTTTTTGAAATCCAAGTAGTTCAGAGTTGCTGAGCTGTGAAACCTTTTGGTTGTATACATGCATTAGGGAGCCAGATTTGCTAGTAGTTGTGTAAGCTGTGCTGATTTGATTGGTCTCGCTTCCACAGAACGGCATCAGAAATGTCTCTTTGCTGGTGCTGTTGCCAGCTGCCTTCAAAAAGGCCCCGATGGTTTCTTTACCACTAACACGTCACTGCCTGTATGTGAACATTGTCAAATTTTGCAGCTAGGTCTTCTCTTCGTAAGACACTTGCAAACATCTGAAAAAATGCAGGTGTTCCACATGAGATTGCCAATATATGGATCTCTTGTGTTGTGGTTCACAGTGGAGGCAGGGAACGTGGACCACTTAGTAAGAAATAAACTTTCTTTGGTGTGATGTCTTGGTTATAACTATCTTTCAAAATAGTCAAAAACAATATTGGAAGCATTCCTAGCTGGCCTGAGATGTGCCTTGTTACCCTGTTTTGTTGAGTAGATGCACAGAATATTTCAATCCGGCTTCTTTTCATCATCTGGTCTAATTGAAACGTAGAAAGGCAAGAAGTGGTGACTGGGAATCAAACAGGCACTACTAATAAAAGTGATGCTTTTTCAGGAGATACCACATGCAGCGTGGTCCATCACTTCTACCTATATTTGCATTTAAGCATATGCAAGTAAAAAATGATGGATAAATATTTGCAGAGCTAGGACTGAGGTTCTTCTAACATGCAAGCATTTTGCTAAATGCCTTGCAGTGTTCTTGGATCTGGAGTTTAAAGTTTTGCAATTTATCAGTGCGTTGAAGCTAAACAGCATGAAGGAGAGTGAGATATAGCTTATGATTGATACAAAATACATTTTTTTTTTTTTTGTAAGTTATGAATTTAGTGTGAGGTAAATAAGGCTTACCTGTTTCTTTTGACTGTTTCAGCGCTGTCTGGCCCTACCTGATACTAGACACAAGTCAGCAGAATACCCTTGTCATAAGACCAGCAGTGTTCTGGACTGTAGTAACAAGCCAGCAGCTTCAAAGTTTTTTCCTCTTTATTTGGTGCTTGCAAGATCACATCTGGGTACCAGCTCCAGTAGTGGGTTCTCTATTCCAAGAAAGTCATTGCTGTACTGGAGCAATTCTCTGTGAGAACTACCAGGATCGTTAGGAGGCTGTAGACAATGTCTGAAGGCAAAGAGAACAGTCTCTTCATCTGTAAGAAGAGAAGGGGAGGTCTTATTACTGCCTGCAGCTACCTTGTGGGACAGTGCAGAGAAGATGGAGCCAAGTTCTCCTTGGAGCTGTACATGGGTAGGAATGAGCTCAAATGGGCACAAGTTGGGGCATACTGAATTCAAGGATGATATGAGAAGTTTTTTTCAATACTGAATATTCAGTTGCTGGAGCAAGGACACAGTGGGGCTGTCATATCTCTGTCCTTGGTGATCCTCAAAACTTCGTGGGGCAAGTTCCTAATTTTGACTCCCTTTTCAGCAAGACCTTGAAATAGGTGACATCCAAAGTCTTTCAAGTCATAACTATTCTGTGAGTCTGTCTTTTCTTGTTGATTGTATGTTGTCTTTTGGATCCCTTCACCAAATAGAACTAAGGCATAAAGGGCTGAAAACCCTAAAGATGATGAAGCTCTTACAAGTCATAGGGGAGGAAAAAACAAGTCAGTTGAGTAGAGTCATGGTTTGGAGCCTTTGATAATTCCTGCTAATTACAGCCTTTCTGTTTTTTGGTTTGTTCTGCTGGCAGGGAGGCTCGTGCACTCACCTTATTCAGCACAGCATTCTTCCAGCTGCTACTTGTGCTGTGTGGAAGAATGCTCCCAGCAATTGGGGACATCTTGGGAGAGTGGGAATGAGATGATGCTTTTCACCATGAGGACAGTAAAGCATTGGAGCAGGTTGTCCAGGAGGGCTTCAATCTCCTTCCTTGGTGGTTTTTAGGACTGCACTGGGAAAACCCAGAGCATTCTTGTCTGACCTCAGAACTCAGTGGGCTTTGAGCAGGACGTTGAACCTTTTCAGGTCAAAACTGTGTTGTCCTGTGATCCTGTATTAGAAGAGGGAGAGTTCTTAGGTGACATGTAGTAATCTCAATAGGACAGGTGATGCTGATGCATGCTGATGAGTCAAATATTTTTAGTTTTAAGTTAAGTTTTAAGTAATTCATTTTCATCAGTCTTGGATTTTTTCTTTTTCAGATGAATTTCTGTTTATGAACTAAAATTACACATTTGTCAGGTTGCAAAAATTTCAAATGCTTGTACTTCACAATTTCTGCTGAGAACAACTTCACAATTTGTTCAGAACATCACTGTAATAACTTAGACGTGGAAATTATCCAAATTATTTTATCATAACCTTGACTTTATGACTTGGAATGCTGTAATGAAAAGATTACTTTTTATCTGTTTAGATCTCTTCCTTAGTTCTGACAAATGTATGTCAAACCTCTGTTCTGGTCAGTTAAGAATTGAGTACAGGTGGGCTGTGAGAATGACTTTAATATATCAAATGTGGGTTAACAGTATTTATTTTCCTGTGATTCTGCAGACTTGCCTGGGTAAGACAATGCCAGCTGAGCGCAAAAAGTCAGCAAATATGGATGAAAAAGAATCTCTGCTAAATAGTAAGGAAAAAGAATTTGTTGAAAGGCGACCGGTGAGCACCAGGGAGAAACCAAAAGATGATGTCAAAGTTGGGGTAAAGAGAGAGACTGTAAAGGTTCCTGAAGACAAAAAGAAAAAATTGGATGAGGATAAAAGAAAAAAAGAAGACAAAGACAGGAAGAAAAAGGAAGAGGATAAAGTGAAGGCAGAAGAAGAGCAAAAGAAGAAAGAAGAGGAAGAAAAAAAGAAACATGAAGAGGAAGAGAAAAAGAAGCAAGAGGAGGAAGTTAAACGTCAACAAGAAGAAGCAGCTGCTCAGCTGAAGTAAGTTGTACTTAAGTATTTTAATTGTGCCAAATGCTGTAGTCCTGCTGTGGGGACTGTGGGGCAGAGTTAGAAAAGATGAACTGTTTGAGTTAATAAGTTGTGTGTCGTGCTACAGATTACATATGCCTGCATGAGGATACCAGTTTTTACATCATTTTGACTTTCCATCTCTTAACCTCTGTTACTTTTGTCTTTAGGATGGGGTTTTGGTGTTGTTCTCTGTGTGGTAATCGTGTGAAGCCCGGATTGACAATGAAGAAGCACAGTTTATTTTGAGATAGAGAATTGTTAGTGTTGTAAATTTGGAAGCACAACATCTGTGAGTCCACAGACCGTATAGGGAGCAAATCTACTGTGAGCAGTGGCTCTAATTGCTTTGCACTGATCTTAGTCAATTGATACATGGATGGCAAACGCAGAACATAACCCATCACTTCAATATGTGATCTTACCAAGACAATATTTTTTTAGTATGATGTCAAAGGGTCTTGCAGTGTTGAAGATAGCATCGATAGGACAGTAAAGCCAAGATTCTGGACATTCTTGTATATCAAGTATGTCACTTCTGAAGATGGGGAACAATGTCATAGCCAAATTCTAGCTGGGGCAGGTGTAATTCAGCTGTTTCAAGTTTTCCCTAATTTCAGTGGTTTGTGAGTAGAAGATTTCCCTTAGCTCTAATACAGTAACTTCTTAAAAGGTTGCTGTCCTCTTCTGGAATAACTTAATCTCAGTCAGGAGTAAATCAAGTTTCATGTTTATATTTTGCAAGTCTGGTGGGATTAAGATGTTCTGCATAGAAGAACGTGAGAAATTCAGTGTTGTAACAAGTGGGACGTGCTTTTTGGAGCAATAAATTCAAGCAATAAATTCATGCAGTGGTTGATCAAGCAGATGCTTTAGCATTCCAGGATTAACTTGTTAAATACTAAAAAAATAGTCTTTTAGTACTGTTCAGCTCTACTGGAGGATTTCAAACTCGCTTTCTTTGACCCGTTAATGTGGGAGTAAGGTGCTGTAACAATAATCACTCCTTTTTCTTCTCCTAGAGAAAAAGAGGAAGCACACCAGTTGCATCAGGAGGCCTGGGAGCGCCATCAGGCAAGGAAGGAGCTTCGCAGCAAAAACCAGAGTGCGCCAGACAGTCGCCCCGAGGAAAACTTCTTCAGCAGATTAGACTCCAGTCTGAAGAAGAACACAGCTTTTGTTAAGAAGCTAAAAACCATTACAGAGCAACAAAGGGACTCCTTGTCCCACGATTTTAATAGCCTGAATTTAAGCAAATACATTGCAGAAGCAGTAGCTTCTATTGTGGAAGCCAAACTGAAAATATCGGATGTGAACTGCGCTGTGCACTTGTGTTCTCTCTTTCACCAGCGCTATGCTGATTTTGCCCCTTCATTGCTTCAGGCTTGGAAAAAGCATTTTGAAGCAAGGAAAGAAGAGAAGACTCCCAACATTACAAAGCTAAGAACTGATTTGCGTTTCATTGCAGAATTGACTATAGTTGGGATTTTCACTGACAAGGAAGGTTTGTCTTTAATCTATGAGCAACTTAAAAATATTATTAACGCTGATCGAGAATCCCACACTCATGTTTCTGTGGTGATCAGCTTTTGTCGGCACTGTGGAGATGACATTGCTGGTTTGGTACCAAGGAAAGTAAAAACTGTTGCAGAGAAGTTTAACTTGAGCTTTCCTCCTAGTGAGATAATTAGCCCAGAGAAACAACAGCCCTTCCAGAATTTGTTGAAGGAGTACTTTACGTCTTTGACCAAACACCTGAAAAGGGACCACAGGGAGCTACAAAATATTGAAAGACAAAACAGGTGACATTTAAATGTTGCTTTTTGTTTATGGAGGAAACAATAGTTTGGTTTTGAAATGCCTAGATTTGTTGCAATATTTGTCACCAAAAGTATCTTGTTAGAGGTGTGCAGGAGATGTGTGTTCTGTGCTATGCCTAAAAATATATCAAATAATCCAGTCAAGCTGTAAAGAGTTCCAAGCTTTCTCTGAATACTTAAAGAACAATTTTTAGAAACAAAGAAAAAAAAAAAAAGCTAAAAACCCAGATTGCTCAAGGATCTTTGAAGAAAGTGCAGGCTGACTTTGACCTTTAATTCTCTTAATTAAATTATTTTGGTGATGCTCCCATAGCAGCTTGAGTGTCTTGCTTATTTACCAGCTGATACTGGCCTTTTCCAGTTGACATAATCTGATTTCTCCCTTTCCACCCACACCTATCTAACGGAGCATATGCCACAATGTTTTTGGCTCATTTGCATTTCTTTTAGTGTACCAATGTTGCCAATGGTAGTGAGTATGGAAAAAAATAAGATGGGATTAAAAAAAGTACCCTTTAAACTTCATTGTTTACAATTTTTGTATAAGCAGATGCTTAAAGGTACAGACAATTTGATTCAAATCCTTTTTTATATATGTGAAATATTAATATTGAAGAATTAATATATATATATTATATAATATATAATATATATTATATAATATATATTATATAATATATAAAATATATATAATATATTATATTTTATATATTATATTATATTATATTATATTATATATTATTATAATATAATATAATAATATAATATATAATATATATATACCTTTTAAGATCTGAATAATTTTATTTCTACCATAAACAAACTTGTTTAAAAAACAAAACAAAACAAAAAAACCCAACAAAAACGTGCTTTTTGTTTAAAGCATCCTGAATTGTCAATCTCAGGGTGAACCTAAAGCCAGCTGTGGGTCTTAAATGATTGCAATAGTTATATATCCTTTGGAAGTACTCCAGGCTGGTAGGAGTGATATGTGATGTGGTACTGTGTGTATCCACAGGTTTCAGTCAAAATGCTGATCATTAGCACAGTTCTAAATGTATGCTTGGAACACATCCAAATCTGACATTCCCAAATCAAGGCTTTAACTTTGACCCACTGTGCTGATAGGTGTTGTGCTGCAGTCCTACTGTTTGTGTTTCAGGGGATCATAAACTCACTCTTGAGCTAGCATTAATTCTCCAGCTAACTTATTGCTTTAAAGGCAGTTGTTGACTTAGCCGTTGCCACTGTTTAATTCAATCAGTATAAACCTCTGCACTTACACAGTTATTCTTGGTTTGGGGCACCGTTGTTTTGGCCGCAGTGTCAATGAACAGTTGTAGAGTTTGTGTGATGGGACTTAAGTGAAAGAAATTCTGAGGGAATGAAGATGTAAGAAAATGAGAGAACATAAGTGATTCAGGTTAGGGGAAAGTACTTGAGTGATTATTTGTGAATTTGAATAAGAACTTCTATAAAACTGCGTAGAGAGAGCCCTGAGCAGCCCAGTCTGATCTCATCGTTGGTCTTGCATTGAGCAAGAGATTGAAACAGAGACCTTTCTGCATGCCTTCCAATCTGAATTATCCTGTGAGATGAAGCACAAAGCTTTGTTTTGGTGGAAGAATATGAAGAAGTATCATTTATCACCAGATGAAAATAATTACATTTATCTGAAGTTTTAAATGTTGGTTTTGGCTGCTTAATAAGTTGGGAAGTAAATTTATCCGAAACAAGACATGAAAAAACTTTTCTGCTGAGTTTTACTTGTGAGGCCGTGAGGTAAAGAACAGAGATTTGGTTGGTAGGAAGTCAGAATACGAGAGAAATATTCATAAACTGAATTTCTGAAGGAGGGTTGTGGTTTGTTTGTGGACCAGATGACTCTTAAGGGTCCCTTCCAATTCAAAAGACTGTATGTATGGTTTTACTTTTATCTTTATATATACTTAAATACATATATAAATACTTACATATATTTAAAGTCAACAATCTTACTGGGGGAAAAAAAAGCAGTCCTCTGTGGGTTTGTTAGCAGCAAAATTGATGGGGTTTCAACAGCTTTTATTTCAGCTGTTACTCCAGAAGTAGTGGAGTGAAATGGAATTGAGCTGTTCCCTGTTGCGTGTTTAGTTGGAGATAATTGTTCCAGGTGAACGTGTCCCATATGCATCTGTGTCAGGAGAATAACTGCTGTTGTGAGATAACTTGAGCTGGTTGAATTAATTATGAATTAATTATGAATTAACGTGTTATTGTATGCTTCAACAAATTCATTACCTGCCACAGCATTTGGTTGAAGCCAGGTTTCTGCACACGCAAAGATGTCTGCAGATGGGTAATTAGGAAAACTATTTTGAGCTACACTGGGACAGTAGAACTTGATCACCTGATTGCATAGCGAAGCCCGTAGCAAAACCTGTGCAGGCTCTTCTATTGGATTGCCAGATTCTAGTATGAGTTCTCAGAAGTGGTTAAGCATGGAAGAAAATCCTTTAAACTTCTTAAAACATGCTTAACTTAATCAGAAGATCTGATGAACTTGATTTGTGGCACTCTGCGAAGTTCTGAAGAGTTCTAGAGTAAGATTAAGTGTCCTGTGCTGTAATGTTGATTGCATGTAAAAACAAATTGTGCTGTTGAAAGATTATTTGGCATGCTTTGGCTTGAATTTAACACAAACTGAAGCTTGGTAGTGCACGTTACTTAGGTGTGCCCTTGTGAGAGGGACAAGAAATAGAGCTTTTGCTAGCATTAATGCCTTTTGCTCTCTATCAAAATATCTAAACTATGTTTTGGCTCAAGTGAGCTGAAGAAATTTTCTTGCCCTGTGAATGTCCTGTGTAAAAAGATGACTTTTTAGTCCCCAGTTATTAGTAAAACAAAAATGCCAGTATGATATCCCTAAATTTATATTGCTCAGACTGTTAGAGAACATTTAGACACAGTGGTGTGTGTTGGCAAGAATGTGGTTGATTTGTGTATTTATCTGCTTAAGAAAAGCCTCATGATAATTTAATTATCAGTCCTTTGTGGCAAGCTTAGCAGTAGCAGAGATTGCAGTGTTGCGTACTTCTAGTTCAAACTACTGAAGGGTCTTGAGATTTCTTGTTTGAAGTCTGGGACACTTGGAATTTCTGGCGTCTGTAGGGGCACTGCTCTGAGTAGTTATTTTTGACATGAGACTTCACAAATTGTGTAACACTCTACCAGAATCAGAAGTGTACTTTTTGCTTGTTTTAACTAATAAATGAATATATGGTAACTGGCTGATAGTTGCCAAAGTTGCTGTGAAAAAAGTTGCATGTTACCATATAAACTTCTATAAAATTAACATCAGATTTTGATGTTTTCCAACATAATAGATAACTTTAGGTTACGTCCATTTCTTAAAATCAGGAGTTAAAGTGAATCGGAGCGGTCAGAAGGGAATCTTTTCCAAGTAGAGGCAAAGCTTTCTTTCTAAAATGAGAAATAAATCCATAATTTGCATCCCTGGTAATTGGTATATGATTTTGCAGAGTGATGTCAATCTAATGCACCTTTCAGAAAGCAACTGAAGTTTTTGTGGTCTCAACCCATTCAGAATAGCACGTTTCTGTAGGGAGTGTAGAATCACAGAATGGCCTGGGTTGAAAAGGACCACAATGCTCATCCAGTTCCAACCCCCTGCTGTGTGCAGGGTCACCAACCAGCAGACCAGGCTGCCCAGAGCCACATCCAGCCTGGCCTTGAATGCCTGCAGGGATGGGGCATCCACAGCCTCCTTGGGCAGCCTGTTCCAGTGTGTCACCACCCTCTGTGTGGAAAACTTCCTCTGTTTATGTCAGGCAGATGCTGTGAGGTTTTGTTTATTTTATGCACTACTCATGTGGAACAGAGAGAGACAGACATGTATAAACTTAATGGTTACATGGAATGCTCTTTAAAGAGAAAAAAAAAAAAAGAATAGCAGTTTTGAACTTCACCGTCCAGTCTGTTTTAAAAAAAGTGTGACCAGATTTAAGCTGGTGCAAAGTGTTGAGTTGATTGAATTGTTGGGTATTAACTGTATTTAGGTTGGTAAGAAAAGTAAGTTTATGAGCAGAAAGGATTGCAGGCAGTGCTTATACTCTTACAAGTAGAAGCTGCTTTTGAAAGCAGTTCTCAGTTTTAAAATTAGCTTGAGTACTTCTTATGAAAGAAATGAAAGAACAAGGGGAAAAAAAGCAGGTGTAACTACTCTCAGCTTGGACTGACAGCCTTGAAATAACTCAGCTTGTTTTAATGCACTACTGTATTTGAGCCTCCTGGCATTGGTCCTCCAATGAATCATTGGGATGGCAAGGAATTGTACAGCTACAGATGTACAGCAGCTTTTATCCAACTTCTGCGTTAGCTGAATGTTGCACTTCATTACAGGAGTTCCTAGTGCAAAACTGTTACAGGATAATCAAGTTTAAAAAAAAAAAACAAATTTTTTTTTTTTTTTTTGTCAGCTGTTTTCTTTGGAAGGTTGGAGCATCTGTGACTATGCTACATTTGGTTATACATATAACATATAACATTTGGTTATACCCAGCTCATTAAATCAGTACAGCTTTTGGGGAGGGGGGGGTGTTGGAGAGTGTTGCCCAAACATCTCCTGTAGATGTGCAATCCCCTCAGAGGGAAGATTAGCTTTGCTAGAGAAATTGGTAATGATTCAGCATAGCTCAAATACGTTTTAAGAAAGAAAGTTGTCTCACTGTGTCTTTGATCTTTGTAGGCGCATTCTTCACTCCAAGGGTGAGCTGAGTGAAGATCGACACAAGCAATATGAGGAATTTGCGATGTCTTATCAGAAACTGTTGGCAAATTCTCAGTCTCTGGCTGACATCCTGGATGAAAATATGCCTGACCTTCCCCAGGACAAACCAACACCTGAGGGTAGGCAATCATCTACAGGAGCAAGTAAACAGGATGCTGGTTTGAATGTGGGGGTAGCTGGCTAAAGCTTCTTACTGATGTGCTCTTTCCATTCACTTATTTTGATTTATTCCCCCAACCCCCCCTTAAAGATATGAAAGAGTAAATAACAGTGTTACTTATTTAAGTAATTAAACCTAATGTGCAACTGTAACCATAACATCCATGCTGTGTAGTCACAGTATTTGAAGTAATATATCTTTAAATCGTTTCAGGTAATACTGGAATAAATGGAAATTCAAAAATGTTCCATTTAGTGTAATGCCTTCTTAATATTTAAATAACTGCATATTTTATAAACCAGTATTGTTCTAAAATGAATTTGAAATCTGTTCTGTTGTGGTGTTATGAGTAGGAACGTACTGTTACCAGGTAAGTCACTAGGTGCTTCTTTGACCTCCTGGGAAGTACAGCATTTCATTTGCAAAGCTATTCAATGCCTTGTTTCAGAATTTAGATTCAGAGCTATTGTTGGAATGAGTGTACCTTCCATCTGAAGTGATCTTGAGCTTTAAAATGCTGCATTTCATGAGTGCTTTGCCTTTATTATGCTTTGTAACCTTCTGTTCTTTAAATTCTGTTGGGTGTATTTCATCATGCAGGACGTAATGTGCCTATTGCCTCTACTTGTTTTAACTGTCTCCCTGATATTGCCTGTTTTTCTATGAATGCCAAATTCAGAACTTTAAAGTTGCATATTGAAATATCTGATGTTCAGATTAGATTACTACAAGTTAACTTAAAGTATACAGTGCTACATTTATGAGAAAATAATGGCAGTGATGAGCAGCCTAATGTGTTTCTGAAAGTATGTATGTTTTTGTAGTTTTTGAAGATGTCTCCTTCCTTATTAAGGTGAGAAATTTGCATAAATAACTTCATTATGGTTTTGCATTTCTGCAGAACATGGACCTGGCATTGATATTTTCACACCAGGAAAGCCTGGAGAATATGACCTGGAAGGAGGTATCTGGGAAGATGAGGATGCTAGAAACTTCTATGAGAACCTCATTGACTTGAAGGCTTTTGTGCCAGCAATTTTGTTTAAAGATAATGAAAAGTGTTGTCAGAGCAAGGATTCCAGCAAAGATGAATCAAGAGGTAGAATGCTTAAACATATGACTTTTTTGTTTATTTGCTTTTTGTTTGTTTGTTTTGAATAAATCTTTTCTGACAGATAAGTTGATGCAAGTAGTGAGCCTGTAATAAAATAATTTCTGGTCATCAGAACAATACAGAGGTTTGGGTGAGTTTTTAGGGTGTCATGTATGTGGGGATAGGTATTACCTGAGTGGCACTAGAGGAAAAAAAGTAAATGCAATTGTATGTTAATGGAATTATAAATTGAAAATAATTGGTGACTGAACAGTGTCAGTTAATGCTGCCTTCTCTGTGGGGAAACTTAGTAGTCTGCCTTCTTTGAGAGATGATAGGGTTCGCTCTGTGTTTTCACTAGATTGTTAATTATGGGCATCTCATCATAAAAGTCCAGTAGATTTTAAGGACAGACGATTCTTCACTTCTGATGGGACCCTGGGTTCACAGCCAGGCATTGATCTGTCTTAGTTATAATGGGTTAAAAGTGACGTTTGCCATTGCTGACTTCAAACATGACAGAAGATGCATGTTTGAATAAGGCCACTGTTAACAGCTTTTAGAGTGTGAACAGAGACACTTGGTAGTTTGCTGATAGATCTGTGCTAGATCAGTGTTGGGTCAGAACGGAATTTCAACTTCCAAGCTCACAGCCTCCTTTCTAATTTCTAAATTCTAAAGTTTCTCTGTGAGAGGAATTAAGTATTGGAGCAGGTTGCCCAGGGGAGATTAGAAACTTTGTCTAAAGGGAATTTGGAGGCAAGTGGAAAAAAAAAAATCCTTGAGGTCTATTCAAAAGTGTATTAGTCTGATTCAAAGTAGGTTACCTGTTTCATAACTCAGCGATTTTCATATGATGTTTGCAATGTGTGTTTAAAAAAAAAATAAGTACTTTATTACAGCTGTTTACATAGAAAATTACACATCACCAAAGGAAAAAAAAATCAAATGATACTTGAAGGAGGTCTGCAGGAGGATAGCAAAAGATTGTAGGCTGTAGTTTACATTGCTTTGTGTTGGACCAGCTTTATTGTCCAAGAAAAATGCTAGCTATTTTCTGAATCTTCATCTAGAAATTCATAGTATTTTTTTTATCCCAAGGACAAATATGATTCATATTAGATCTTTTGCACAGCAGATCAATTTTTAAGTATCTTCCATCAGCTGTACCTTTTGCATTCATTTTTTTATTACTTTTTGTAGATCTGCATAAAATACTTCAATTTCTTATGTCTATTTGTCTATTAGTTGACATACAAAGAATGTGTTGTGCAAATGTTAAGTGAGAATTTCTACCTTTAAATGTCTGTTTTTAAGTAATGTTTGTGATGTATTCATTCATTTGGGTCATTGTGTCTGACCCTTCCAGCATGCAGTTTTGCTTGGCAACCAGTTTCAAACACTTCCAGACTTAAATTGCTGATTTTTGTAATCATTTTTATTGTGTTTGAACGTCTGCATATCATCCAGTGACATTTCAAGTATAGTTCAGAGCTAATGAAAGAAGTAAAACTGCTGGCAATGCATAGCAGAACCCTGTCTAGCTAAATAATTGCAGTTTCCAGGCATATGGATAAAGCTGTATGAAGGATGTCAGAGCTCTGAGACCTAGCAGGTAAGAGTGTAGACTCAAGAATTAGGGGGACTTGGTGAAAGGAAATACGGTAAAAAGGCATTGCTAGAGAGACATAAGTTTAGCAGTGCAAGTCTTCGTATTCTAATCATGATTGCATGTATTTAATGATTTAGTACTTCTACTTAACTCTTAATTAGATTCAAAAGATGCCAAAGATAATAAGGAAGCAGCTCCTGGGGGTGAGGATTTGGAGTTGGAGCTGGAGAACCTGGATATTAACGATGATCCACTGGAACTGGACTGTGGAGATGAAGCAGAAGATCTTACAAAAAAGCTTCTTGATGAACAAGGTAAAAAGAAAAGAACTGGGGTTGGGAGTTTGGGAGTTCTGTGTTGTTTCCTGAGTTGTCTATGAAACTCACAAGTTAGGGGGGGAAAAAAAAATGACAAGAACAGCTCTAGAGCAGCACTTTTTCCTGAAAGAAAATTGATATCATTCTGGATAAAATTTCCTTTTTTTTTTTCTTTCCTTTTCTTCCCTAAGCCATACCTTCTTTGGAAGCAGTTTTCCTTATTTTGTTCTTCTGATTAGTCACATGATCAGCTCATTAAGCTGGTTAAGATCTTAAGATCTAATAAACTGCCAGGACAGAGGATTGTTAACGCCTGGTCAGACGTTTCAAACAAAACAGCAAGGAGCTTGGTTCTTGCTGTCTGAAAGGTAGATACACATGGATGGTATCTTGGAATTAAAGGGAGAAAGGGCAACTCATTCTAGATTGGTCATAGCCTGCTAGACAGGTCAAAAATACTCAGTGAGTAGGCAGATAAAGAAACGTGAGATGTGAGCAGCGTGCAAGTGTTACTTTATTTAAACATACAAAGAAACAGTGATTGTGTGTGTGTGTGTCTGTCTGGAATTCTGATGCTCTTAGTTTTAAAGACCTGGTGCTACCAACTGTTGAAAATTTAAACTTGCATGTTTTCATCGAGTCAATTGGTAGATGTTTGTTTGTTTTTTTTAACAGCCTTTCTTGTGAATAAAAATCACTGGGGTTTGACATTAGGTGTCCTTAAGCCATAAAATATATCTTTAAGTTTCAGTACTTACTGAATTATTTTCATGCATTTTTGTTTACAGTAGGTTATTATTAGTGTTTTGTGGAAAGCCAGTAGAGAATAAAACCATTGTATTATATTGCTATTTAAAACAAACAAAGAACCCCAGTATTCTTGGCTGAGATAAAACTTCCAGTATAAAAAGAGGGTGCCAGCATAAAAAGAGGTATAGCTGCATCTTAAATAAGTGGTCTAAAGATGAAGAAACATAGCTTTAGTTGTGATAATCTGGGAGTGTGGGTTTCATTGGCAGAAGGAATAAGCTAAATTAGAGGGGAAAAAAATGAAAGAGGAAATAGGGTAAGTAAGGTACACAGTCTAGTGAGTGGATACGTGCCTTGTACTACTTCTGCATCTCTTTCTGGTGGCTGGAGCATCTCTTCAGTCTTTTTTTCTGTGCCCAAATACAAGGGAAACAAGGCTTTTCTTCAAAATGTGTGTTTTCCAAGCACGTTTGTCTTGGTATAGCATCCTTCACAGCACTGCAATGCATATTTCTTCACTTATTTCTTAAAAGTTTGAGTCCGTAGTTAGTTAAATTTGAGATACAACTTGTAAGAGGAAAACTTACATTGTTAGTTGAAGAGGATGATTAATCAGGAATTCAGGTAACATTTTATTTCTCTGTTATGTTAACTTTGAGTGAATCTTAATTTTCTTATTTTCAATATGCTCAGGCAAGAGAGAGGGAGCAGATAGCACCGGAGCTGACAGTAGTGACGGAAAACAAGCTGAAAGAAGTGAGTTTTCAGGTTGTTTTTAAAAGAGAAGAGAAAATGGGGAAAAATGGAGCTGTGTGAAAGATGTTGAGAGAGGAATGGCCAGGATGAAAGCCATCAAGGATATTGGGAGCAAGGGGAGTCTGATGTTAACATATATATATATTTAGCATCATTTTTGTAAGGCTCGCCAGCAGTGGAAAGAATGTGTAGAAGATGAGTGTTAATGCTCCACAATGCTACTTGCTGCACTATTTAGAGAGCTGGTGAACCTCCTATTAGGAGAGCAGAAATAATATATGCATGCCACTCTCATTAAAGTGTTTTGTGGGATTGAATGTCTTGAGTGTACATTCTGAATACATTCTTTAATGAGGCCTTGGTTCAGCAGGAGTGTTGGACATTATGTCTGTGTGTTCTGCATAAGGGAGGGCCAGCAATTTGTACTGGTTCCTATCAGCTGAATGTGGCTGCTTCCTTAAGACCATACTTGTTACAGATGTTCATCTCACAGAGGGGTAGCACTGTGCAAACATTTCTGTAATTCACACTGTCTGGATGATACTACAGGAAACAGACAAAACTTTCTGGCAGAATGGACTTTTTAGATATAGACACTCTTAGAGCTGTGGTTTTGTACAAATAAATTGTTTATTATCAGGGAGCCAAGGCTTTTTCAGGAACTGTGCATGTGGGGAGAGGGGAAGGCAAATAGCTGTTGGTACTGAAATAGATGATTTCTTAGCACCGGCCGTTGCAGGAGAAGGACTTCAGTAATTCTGCAGTGTCCTCTCATAGTTGGTTAGTTCTAGTCCCTGAAAATTGCAGGATTCCATGAAATTTTGGTTAAATGCAAAGGTGTTTCAAAAAAAAAAAAAAAAAAAAAGTGTTTTCTCAATCTCTACGATGATCTTGCTCTGTGATTTGGTCTGCCCCCAGATAAACTAGTAAAAATACCCTCATGTCAATTGTTACACATTGCTATTTCCTGTGATTTCTGTAAAAGAATGAATGCATTTCGAAACATAGAGGTGAGAATGCAACTAAAGAGGATCAAAGGGAGAAGCAAGAGCTGAAATTTATTTTGCTTTTGCTTTGATTGCATGGTTAGCATAGTTGTTTACCTCAGAGAAAGAAGCTCTAACCTTTTCATTTCCTGCCACTGTCAAATTCTTCATTTTTCCACTCTGAAGTCACAAATATATTTCAGGTATTACGAAGGATCCTTTTCACTTAGAAAGGGTGTTTACCTCAAGGAGGAAGAAATACAGCGTAAGAATACTTGCAGTCTTCCAGTGGGAGAGGGGACTAATGAGAGAAGAGAGAGAGTTGGGAAATGTGGAAATGGAATGTGGTCGCGAGGCCTTCTGAAAGATTGCCTTGAGAAGTGACTGAATTGGTTAAGATTCAGTTTTTATTTTATTTCAGCAGCAGAGTCAGTTTGAACAGAAAATAGAAATGAGGCAACAAACAGCAGTAGGAAGGGGAAGGTGAAAGAGCATTTGAAGGAGACAGGAAGGAATATTCTGTAATTATCTAGGAGGAAAAATGTTTTTTTCTCAATTCTTGTAGAAGTTGAGTATGTGAGTAATGAGGGAGTCAGTGTTGTACTAAATATGTAGAACCTCAAGGTCCTCTTGGCTGAGCATCTGGAACTTTTTTTTTTTCCTTCTTTCTTAGTGAACCCTTCTGTCTTGTTCTTCCAATTTCTAATTGCCTGAGGAAGAGGCAGTGTCATCAGCTTCCATCTCTAGCATTGTGGAGACAGGATTGCTGGCAATGTTTCTTGGAGCAATTCCTACAGCTTCTTTACCTAAGTTAGACTTCTGTCCTTACATCCCCAGAACAAAGAAAAAAGTCCTATGACATAAGCAAAGAGAAATCAAAAATGATTTCAGTAACTTGAAAAGAAACTTCAGTCTTATCTCAATGTTTAGGCTGAAATGACAAAGAAATTTTGGCAAGCGTTGAGTACTTTTTAGTGATTTTTCAGGGACCATTTTCTCACCTACCTGTGTTCTTGAAGTCTGCCTGTGTTTTCTTTCCAGACACCTCCTAATTATTGCTGAGTGTCCTTGAGCTGAAAGGAAACAGAAGTTCACCACATTCCCTTTTTTAGAAAGCAGTTTTCTTTTGCACTGCTTTGGCCAAGGAAGAGTTCTTCCAAACGTTTGTTTCGACTCATTGTTTTGGCTCGTGCTGACAAACAAGCTAGACTCTTCTCTAGGACTCCAGTTAATTCTGGATATCTGGATTTTAACTTTTTTTCCTCTTCATAACACTTGTTTTGCAGTTAAGGTGTAGCTGTAGGGGTATTGGTTTGAAATCTTCACAGCTGATGCTGGAAAAATCTGAATTTCAATGGTAGGCTCCTTTAGTTCAGTGGTGTTACTGACTCAACCAGTAGATTCAGGTCATTGTCTGCTTACTGTGTTGCAAAATACACAGAGCTTTGCTTGAGAAAACAAGTTGTTACTTGCCGTGCAACTGCTGTGTGCTCAAACCTCCTTCCTTTTCACAGTGGTTTCTTACTTCAGTGTCTGCACAGGTGAAGGATCAACATTGGCCAGCTTCAGTTTTTTGCCACTTTTTGGACATTCTTGTGAAAAAAAAAAAAATAAAAGTAAAAAAATCTGCTTCTCACACAGAGCAAACGTAAGGAGTAGAATCTGCAGTTGCAATGTTTTTGCTGTACTGTTTTCCCCCATGTTTGGGCCTTTTTGTGGTCCGTGTTTTATTGCCTAAACAATTCACCACAGTCTTCCAGGAATATGCGTTTGTTGTTTCTCCCGACAGTGTAAATCAGGGACAGGAACTCTTGATTTTGTTATTAATTCATTAATAGGAAGATAAGTTTTAAAGGTGATACTTTAGACTCTTGCTGGTATAGACCAACAGTGAATTTTTTTTAATACTAAAAATATTAAAAATTAATTTGTTTTCATATTTCTTTGTTTTTTGTTTTTGAATCTGTAGATAAATATTCAAAATTTAAACATTACAAATGTGCTGTGTTTGGGGAATGTGATAGTAAATCATTATATTTTGTAGCTTAAAGATGTGTGCTGCTTGTTTATTTCACTCTGTTAGAACAAGAGGATGAAGAAGCCAGTACTGGATCTCATTTAAAACTTATAGTTGATGCTTTTCTTCAGCAGCTTCCAAACTGTGTGAACAGAGACCTCATAGACAAGGTACTGTCATAGTTCTCTTTTTTTTTTTTTTTCCCCAACTCTTAAAAATATATAATGCTACCTCAGATTGATAAGTAATAAAGACTGAAGCTTTGGAGTCTGTCAGTAACTGAATTTGATTTTAACTTAAAGGAAATATTTTTTTCTCTCCCACGTAGTAAACTATTGCCCAGATATCGTGTGAGCTGATACTCCTCTCATCCTGTCATGTTTTCTCTACCCATTCTCTTAGACTGTAGTTTGTTTTAAAAGAAGTAGGGCTGTCTTGGTTGTTTTTTTTTGAGATTTTTTTTGTTGTTTTTTTTTCTTCTGTTGCACTCTGACAAATTACTCCTCATCTGTCTTCCTAAAGCTACTTTCTTTATTCTACTGGTCTGAAAAGTTGGTTTATATTCTTGCAACTGTGCTGGTCAGGGTCCATTCTAGACAAAAATTGAGTTTTTAAAGCTCATGTAACAAGCATGGCTCTGTAAATGGTACTCTTGGAAAGAATGCTACATTGCAAACAATGTATTTTTAAAAAGAGATAACCCCATCATTTTAAGGTGAAGTATTATATTGACTTTTCTGTTTATAGGCAGCCATGGATTTTTGCATGAATATGAATACAAAAGCCAACAGAAGAAAACTAGTACGAGCACTTTTCATAGTTCCTAGGCAAAGGTAAGAGGAGGGGGGAAATTTGAATTGACCCTTTTGTTATTTAACATCTGTTTTTTGTTGTTTTGTTTTTTTCACTGTTTAAATTACTGAAATCAAGTGCACATTCCAAGTCATGTTTGGCTGTATTTACTCCTGATGTGATTTTTATCTAGAGAACAAAAGAAATGTTTAAAATAAAATGATATTTAATACAAAATGATTCAACAAAATACTTTGCTGTGGTATTGCAGAATTTTATTATAGTTCATCTTGTTCAGAACTTGTGAATTTATGGTGGGTCTCCTCATAACTTTCTTTTTTTAACTGTGAAAGTAACAGCAAAACCTTAGTGCAAAACCTCTTAGTGCAAAAGAAGGATATATTTACTTCAGGAAGAACTTGTACAATTTTATATGGGACTATCAATAATTAGAGCACAAGGAAGGAATATTTCTTATGACACTAGTTCTTCTGTAATACCTGGCAATTACAGCCTTTTACCTTCTCCAGAGCTACTTTGGAGTTTGCTTAAGGAAAACAAACAGGAGTTTGTGTGAGTTCTTCACTCTATCATTCATTTGTTAGAATTTTCCTACCTTTTTTTTTTTTTTTTTTGGCTTTGTGTAAAATAGACATCTGCACTTGCTAGAAGAGCCTTCCTTATAGAAATGGTTGCAAGGCTGATAGATGGAATTGATAAATTCATTAGAATAGTGTTTCTTTTCCTTATGGTAAACTTGTACCTTAAATAGATGCAACTTAAGTGCAATTATGGAGGAGTCACTTTTCCTGCTCCTCCTTGCCCTGATTTTCCTCAGAGGCTGTTTTGATGCTGCTTCTAGCTCCAACTGTTTCATCATCATCTTGGATTTCCTGTTATATTTCACACTACTTTGATTCCATTCCTTTTTAACACTGTGAGGCAAAAAAACAGAGTGCTCCTTCATCATCTTACCAGCAGGCGCTCTGTAATCCAACAGTTTGTTTTGAAAGTAATTATTTATTTAAAAAAAAAGATTAATTTGTCTGTAGGAACTCAATAGACCAATAGTTGTGGTTGGCTCCAAGGGCTGTTACCTTCTTCACAGTGCAGCTCTTTAATATCTGGAACTGATACTGAAACAATTGAGTCAACCCAATTGATTTTCTTGCAGTTGTTCTTTAATTATAAATATTACTTTTAAATATTAAGTATTAATATCTTAATGCTTGTTTTATATTACTTTCTTGTATTCTAATGCCCTCTTGTGCTGCCTGCTCTGAAACCTTCTGTGCATATAAGTACATCAGCCTCCAGTTGTATGACCATCAGCTCAATTGTGTATATCTCCCTTTTCTTTTTGCCTGCATTACAAATGCCCATCTCTGGGTTACTAAGCAAGAGCCACAGGGTGTTGGCTGAGTATTTTGTTTGGAACCACAAACAATTGCAGTGAAAAAATACCAGCTGAGCTGCCCCATTGATGCAGGCAGTTTTAAAGGACAGTCTGTGCTAATATTTGTTGGCTTTGTTACTGCATTTGGTAAGGGAGCAGCTCTGCTTTCTTCCTTCAAGTCACCATTTACAATCCTTGTGGGAGAATGTCTTGTTGTGCCTACGTAGCATGCAAGTTGCTATAAAATGCTACAAATTGATTTAGAAAAACATACATACAGCTTTGAAGCAATGTCATACCAACAGTATTTCTGTTAGTTTGTGTGTATATATGTATTACATGCAGTTTTGTGTATCCCTTCTCTGGCTGTATTGACATCTCTTTATTTTCCATTACTGTTGTTGCACAGTACTAATTCCAGGAGTTCTTGTAGCATCCCTTCAGGATGCCATTGGAGAAGCAGTATAGGAAAGCTTGTTATAGTTCAGTTCTCAATTTATTATTTTTTTTTTTGAAGGTTAAAGGGAAAAGTGTCCTTAAAAGGTGGAGATAAAACAGTGTATTTTCTAAATGCATTTAGTTTCCAAACATAGTAGATATTGTAGTCTCCATCTGGCTGCTATGTTTGCAGCCATAATAAGGTATCTCGAAACACAGTAACATCTGATCTTTGGAGTGATCACAGTTTCAGGGAGTATGCAGACATAATAATTGCACCAAGAACCTACAAAACTTTAAGGAGAAGTGGTTGAGGAGTTGTGAAAACTCTTTAAGGCCAAAATTATTACATAGTGCTGCTAGGGAGCTTGCTTGGTTTCCCTTGGCTTGTGTAGGCTGGGACAAATGCAAACTTAATTTGTCAGAGAAAAGAAGGCAGCTGTTCCTCAACTGTCACTTGATTAGGGTCAAAATACAGCATCATTAATTTGCTTTGTTGAATACTTACAAATTCATCACATTTAAGCTTCCAGCTTCAATTTGAACCTGCAAACAGAAAGCCTTTTTTAGAGATTTTTTTTTTTTTTTTTCAGTGCTAGTATAAAAGTGGCTTCAGATCTTCAGGGAAGGATTGATTTAAAACTAAGAATGAGCCTTTTAATTCAGGGCTGTGTGGTTTGTACTAAAGTGACAGTACAGTGATTTGACCAATATTGTTTGCAGTTTTAGGACATCTTTGTGCAATTTTTTGCTATCTGAAGTAGTTTAATGCACAGAAACGCACACAGTTTTGCATACTGCAGTCTTGCTGTTTTTTTTTTCTTTTTTTTTCTTTTTTAAATTCAATACGAAGTTTAAAATACCTTTTAAGGTTTCAAGTTCTAAAGTATTTAGGTAAATGCTCAAATAAGGGTTGTGGTTTCTGACTTATTTTTCTTCCCCATTCCTATATATGGTGATCTGTGAAGCTGAACATGTACAGAGCAAAGAGTTCTGTTGCTCTTTGCATTTTAACAGTGTCTGTTCTTAATTCAGAAGTTAGCTGCCTCGTGAGTGTTAAATAGTTCTGAGCATTCTGATCAGATATGTACACTTCTTGTATGTCTGTCTTCATTCAGCTTCCTACCTGAGAATTCTCAGTAAGAGGACCCTCTTTGTTCAATGTAAATTGGCTTCTCGAAGTCTCAGTGCTTCTTTCTTTGGCAGATGAAAATGAGAGATTTGCTTAAGATAGGGTATTTATGCCAGAGCTGAGTAAACAAAACTGATGGTATGAAAATTCCACAGCATCATGTTCTTTCTGTTGAGTAGTGCAGGTGGCAGTTTTTACCTGTGCAAGACCTATGAATACATTTCATTTATCTGGATTATGTTTGTGCTTTCAAGGCAGTTCTCTCTTGCATGTTGCTTTGTGCTTTAAGCTGTCTCTTAAATAGGAACTCAGATAACGAATGTCCAAAATGTCCACTTCGCTTTCTAATAAAATTTTGCATTTAAGGCTTTAATTGAACAAAGTCTTTGTTTTGTTTGTAAATTGACATTTGAAATTCTTAAAAAGCAAACAAATATACCAAAAAAAACCCCTAAACTAAGAAGTTTATTAAATATTTAACTAATGTGCAGTCTGTGAGGTCCAGAGTTGAGTACGTTTCTGTCCTAGAACTTAGGTTATCTATAAATGCAGGTACCAGTAGGTGGTGCCACCTATACTGCAGTTTCTCCACTTTTGAATGCTAATTTTGTTTCCCGTGGAGCAAGTGAACAGATTCAGTGTCTGATAGCCAGCTTTACAATATTTGACCCAAGGCTTTTCCTTATTATATTTCACCTATTTAGAAACACTCAGTATTCTACCCCATGAAAAAACCTTTTGTATCCTGTGATGAAGCAATAATGATGCACTGTAAGACTTAATTTTCCCTCAGGTATATTCAGTTTACAGAGATGAAATTATTAGCACTCAGCAGGCAGCTACTTGTTCAGATTAGAATAAAACTTTGTGCTGCTTTTTAAGAGATCCCACGCAGAAACTCCCTCAATTAAAGCACACCCCCTCATCTCAGCCCAAGTCTTAATTTAGTTCATGCATGTATGTATAAAGTAATGAGACTTTCACTTCTGCTCTGAGTTAATGACTGAATGCTTATAAGCCTGGTAGTAATTTGCTGTAGTTAGTCACCCTTGACTGTGTGTTCCAACAAGCTCAAAAAATGTAAATACTACTTCAGTTATTGATTAACAAGAGAATAAAACTGTTAAATAGGTAACTGGGATACCTCTAATGTTTCACCTGGAGTTTTGTACAAAAGCCACATAGCTTTGCTTTTTTCAGGTAGTGTGTTTTTATGCTTCTGTTCCACAATTTAAACATGGAATTTTCCCTGTTTCTTTGACATTGCCCAGTTTTCATTGCTGCTGCTGTTGTGTGGGCTACAGTTTCGAGGTTTTGTCTCAATTTTCTTCCTTTCTTTGTGAATCCAGCTCTGTTTCGGGGCAAGCTTTATTTTTCTTTTTTTTTTCTTTTTTTTTTTTTTTTTGTGAAGTAAAGATTTTTCCTTTCACAGGCAGTTTCTCTCTTCAGGTATCCAAAGTTAAGATGTTTCTCTCCAGTTACGTAAAAGATGATTTTTAGGGTTTATCTCCTGTTTGCCTTATTTTCAGAACATAAGTGGTATATACAGAGTTATGCAAAGCACTCTATTGTTCAGTCTTTTGTGAAGGGATGCCATTGATCAAGTTTGAAGGCGTTTATTCCATTTTTGCAGCCAGATACTCTGTAATGAGAAGAAACAAAGTACGAGCTTGAACTGAACACCAGAATTCCCTAAGGGGAAACAGGTGTTGCTATAAAATGGTTATGAAGGATTATAACTTAGGAAAGATGAATGAAAATAAGGAAAGTTCTTATATTTTGCAGTATTGCAATTAGTGTGATTGCTAGTTGAGGTTGCCACTTCACCCACTTAACATGATCTGTTGAGGTTTCCTTGATGTAATGACATTCCTGCATTCATTTACAAGTTCACTGTAAGAATAAACATCTTTACCTTCCTGGTTTTGTTTGCAATTACTCAAAACAAAAATTGGGGGGGGGGGGGGGGGGGCGGGGGGTGGTATAAAAAGAAAAAAAAAAAAAAAAAAAATAAAAAAAAAAAAAAAAA